CTTTAAATAGACCATCAAATTTATTCTCAATTTGAACATTATGAGACACTTGCGGGCAACGTGCCCCTTCCAACATCCATCACTCTTTGTTCAACAGTCTACACGCAACCCCTGATTACAAAAGACAGCTTTATAAAGAAGCAAAACCCAACTGTACAAGAACCACATTAAGTTTACTCATTTCCTCTTTCTATTTTTACAGTCTAGGGGGCTAAGTATTTGCACTTCACTCATTTGAATTCCTGAAAAAAAGCATTAGAACACACCAATAACAGTTCTGCATAAATTACATGAACCCAACTCTCATCATAACTACACAGTAACAGGTGGAAAACACTGGTGTGAGGATGTGGCGATGCTGTTCTTAATGAATAAAGTAATTCTTCTCGCGGCTTTAAGTCTCCTTCATACCCAGGTGTTGCAGTAAATGTGTTGATGACTTCCATGAGCATATAAATGAGAATACTTAATGAAACACCTGGATGAAAAGAAGAGATAGAGTTGTGAGACTAACTATATTGTCCATCACCACGGTCTCAATCGTCATCTCCGTTATTACAGACGTTTCAGATTCTCGGTCAAGTGCCCTGCTCTTTGGAATGTCCACAATGGTTACTGATCTTGCTAACGAGTTCCTCTCATTGCAACATTGCTGGGTACATGGTTGGAGGCACTCACGGATTCTCGAATGGACAAGTCTGACGTGGTCTTCATCAAACTGTATTCTTAGCAAAGAGTAAACTCAGTTAAGGGTTTCGGAAGAGTCAAGTTGTAGGGAAGAGGTATACAAGTGTAGTGTAAGAAGCTGAAATTACAACATCTGTCGGTTGGTATTTTGTTGGTAGACACAACTGAATGCTTCAGTCCTGAGAACCTGAGATTGTCCAGAAAAAAAGTTGCGTGTACAGGAGGGCACAAGCTACGACGAAGTCACATCCCAGTGTTTCGCATTTTTCAAAGCAGCCTGAGTTGGGGAGTAGGGTGGAACCTACGAGCTCTGCAGAGGGCTGTCCTTTCTAGGGACACCCAGATTGCCTCAGCGTGCATCACACTTTACACTAACTCCCCAGTCTGAAGCTTTCTTCCCCATATGTCACCAGCCAATGAGCAGTGCCTTGATGCGACTCTCCACAGATCTACTGGGCCATCAGAGGAAGGGACCACTTGATCCCAGCATTCAAGTCATCTGCTCCTATGTGGGCACTCCTGAAGCCAACAGCAATTGAAAATGCTGGGGGAGCCTTTTATTAACTCAAACATGATGCAAAAGTCGTCTCAAAAAAACGTTTATTAGCATGATTAAAAACATTGGCTTGAGCAATGACAGAGGGAAGGAATTTCTAAACACGGAAGCATACTGGTAGTGACTTCTAACCGATACCTGGAATCAAACGGGCAGCTTTATTGCCAGGCTTCATTTTACTGAAATCAATCCATGTCTTGGTTCCACGTGAAGTCATGACTATTGCTTTGTCGGGAGTGAGTCCCTACAGCAGTTAAGTATAAAAAACACCTTCCATCATAATCGGAGTGTGACCTGCATTACTGAGAAAAGAGCTGATAAAAATCCTCAAAGAGTTGGGCTTTTGTTTTTAAAAAACATTCCTTTTACACACTACAAAGAAATAGTTAGTATTTTGGCTTTTTAAATCCCTACATGATACTCAGGATGGCGGTTCCCAAAGCCCCTCCCCTTGCCATCGTCGGGAACACGGCCCCTCTGCTGAGGGTGCACTCCGGGGGCAGGCTCTGAAGACTTCGCACTCCACGTGTTTATACTGGTTTGAGAACAAAGACCGCGTCATCCAGAACATAGTAGTCATTGTACATGTCGCCCTCACACAGGTATGGCAGTCTGGTGAAAGCTTCGATAACAAAGCCAGCTCTTCTGAAAACTTCTGGCAGGCTATTGACTTGTTCTTCCCAATTCTGTCCCTTGATTTCCAGAATTTCTGATGGTTTCTCCCACTTGCCACCTACTAAAACAAAAACATTCAGTTAAATTCTTGAACAAACACGTTCTCTGAGGAGGAAGGGGAGAGGGGCACTGCACTGGGCGCTCTAGGAACCGACTCCTTTCTCCTTCCAAGGAACCCTGCAGGTGAGGGGACAAGAAACGAAAAACACGCTGAGAAGGGCTGCAACTCGCCCAACAGGTGAAACAATGAGTCTCGGAGCAGAACTGTAACCCCAGGCTAATCTGGATCCAAAGCCCACATCCACCCGTTCTTACCATCCCGGATATCACCCTCCCTTAGACGGACTGGGCTGCAATGGTCAATGGGTTCAAAAAACTGATCACTAAGTATGGGCATACTGAAACAGAGAGTAAGTAACCAATCAAATTTGAAAGAAGGTTTTAGGACAAATCCAAGAGAATACCAGTGACGTGGTATTTATTGACTAAAGAGGTGTGTAGGGTGGTGCAGTCCCTAAGGCATTTCACTGCTAACCAGAAGGCTGGCGGTTCAAACCCACCAGCTGCTACACAGGAGAAAGATGAGGCAATCTACTTCCATAAAGATTTACTGCCTTGGAAGCCCAAGGGGAGTCGCTATGAGTTGGAATTGACTTGATAATAGCAGTGAGTTTGGTTTTTTTGGAAAGAGGTTTATTAGGATGGGAACAGGAACAGGCTCATGAAGGATTTTAATTCATAATAAACCAGTGTGTTTTTCAAGGGAAGTTGATCGTTCCCTAACTTTCAGAACAATCTCATCAACGCTGAGCTCCAGGACCGGGAGCAGAGCACCGGAGCGAATGAGTCAGGCCAGCGCTCCGAGAACGGTGCCTGGAGTCTGGACCTACGGGGGCAGGTGCCAGGGAGAGTGTCCAAGGGTAGGGAAGGTCACAGACACACACACAAAGGGCACTGCTGCTATTAGTTGCCGCTACGCTGATTCCAACTCACGGCAACCCCGTGGGCTCAGAGTGGAATTACTCCACCGGCTTCCAGTCACTGGCTTGCCTGCCAAGGCACCTCTGAGTGGGTTCAAACCGCCACGCTTTCAGCCAGCAGTCAAGTGCTTAATTGTCTGCACAACCCAGGGCCTCCCCACAGATGGCAATAAATACCCATCCTCACATACTTTCAGATGCTCTGTTGATGTGGAAAACACACATGTACAGTTTTGAGACTGTTCCAGAATTCAGACTCAGAATAACCTTCTGTTAGTGAGAATATACGTAATCGACTGCTGCCAAGGATACAGACACAACAGTGGAAGGATTTTCCATTCTTTCCGGCGGCCCAGCACCTGAACCCCTTCCTGTGATTCAGGGGAACCCCAGGCTGCGGCTGGGGCTATTCCCCGCCTAGAGTCTTGGGGGAGACAGTACCTGGGGAAGTAGCTTCGCCAGCCTCCTTGCTGCTAGAGGCCTGTGGCATGGGGCCTAAAGCCCCAGACTGGGAAGGAGGCGCTAACGCCCCGGAGAAGTTGGCCGAGAAGTTGGCCGTGAGCCGCCCTCCCGGGGGTGGAGCAACAGGAGGGGACCAAGCAGCTGGGACCAAGCTGAGTGACGCTGGAGGCAAGGCTTGGTCCACGGCGGTGTCTGTGTGTTTGCTCTTCCAAGTTCACGGTGTGACCTGCGGCAGCCTCCTGGCCGTGGACTCAGACAGCACCCCCCCCACCCCCGCTCCTCTGTGACCAACCACCACACCTCCTTTCAGTACATCCCCTCTTGCTCAACGCAGCCCGAGTCAGTTCCTGCTGCTGACAAAGGAGAACCTGAAGACAAAGCCTCGCAGTGGGGGAGGGGCGCAGAACAGAGGCCCACACGTTACGAAGGGGTCCTCAAGCTCAAAACTGGGGTACAACTAGGGCACAATTTAGCTCTTCACTGTACTCTGACGTCTCATTCAGCCGTTTTATCTCCACCTGAAGACACTGCCTTCTGCTTCTGCCCGATTTCCAGGGGTGACGGTCCATACTGGGCGCACAGTAGGTGCCCTGTGGCGATTGCCCAGCTGCTCTGGGAAGGTAAAGTGCAGCTCTCTCCAATACGCTGCTCCTCGCTGGGAACGTGCACTTTGTAAATCACAATCTGAGTCAGAGCGCCTCGTACCTCCCCGTCCAGAGCAAAGAATGAAGAAAAGCAAAGACGCACAGAAACAATTAGTCCAAGGGACTAGTGGACCGTGCGTATGGCCATGAGACCAGAAGAGCTAGACGGTGCCCGGCTACCACTGTCAACCACTTGGAGGGGGATTGGTGCAGGAGACCCTGGATATTTTGGGAGAACAATGTGGAACAAAATCCAAAATCATACAAAAGACCAGGTTTGCTGGTCTGCTAGAGCCCGGTGAGACCCCTGAGACTATAGCCCCTAGTTACCCTTCGGGTCTGGAACTGAACTCACTCATGTGGTTTCCAGCCAAACAGACAGGCATATGGGGTGAACATTTACACCAGGTAGATACACTTCTTGGCGCGATCAATGGTGGGAGAACAGAAGGGCAGTGTTTTTCCACGGAGACGGCTTGGGGGACAGGAATCCATGGGAGGGAAGGACACAGGGAAGAGGTTAACAATGGGGACGAAGTGGGAAGAGAGCTGTTACATTGTGGGGAACTGCAGTCAATGTCGTGAAACAAAATGTGTAGAACTGCTGTGTGGAAAATGAATTTGCTCTGTAAACTTTCACCTAAATCACAATAAATAAAAAATAAGAATAATAAAACAAAACACCTAGCATCTATGAGGATTTGTCAAGTCAAAAAAAAGAAGAAGAAAGGATATATGTATGATATGAACACATTTGGGTTATGTGTTCTACCTAAAATCTCAACTTCACATTGTGAAACCGGGTTACAAACAAGTTTTACACAATTTCGCAAAGTTCCCAATTATGGTTACTCAGGAAGAGTTCCTCCCTTCAGTTCTTCCCTTCTAAAAAAAGCACGTACACACACCAAGCAGACTCTTTCAAGCCCGCGCTCCCACGCGCACACACGAAGAGACGGAGACGGTCACAGAGGAAAGACTGCGCTCAGGCTGGCCATGAACCTGATTCTATTTTATGTCGGTAAGGTTCTTCTTCTTTTCTCTCTCTTCCGTGTTATTTAAATCAATCTATTTTTCCCTTACTGCATTGACATTTTAAGTTCCTACACATGAAGTTTTCAAAGAATACTAGAAATTATCTAAGATGATGTTTCCCTTCTCCCTAGAGAAGTAAGATTGTAAGAGAAATAGCTGACAAACAGCTTCAAACTAACCCTGAAAATCCCCTTTGCTCTTACACTGCTGTAGAAAAGGGCCCTTCAGCAAACAAAGGGGTGACAGGGGCGAATGAAACACCCCAAAACCCTGTGTACCAGTCGATGACAATGAAGTTCCCAGGCACTCGCTCTGCACACAGGAGGCATGAACCAACATTTGGTGGGTTATTTTCAAAGAACAGTGTTTTTGAGAAAGTAAATTGCTATAACCTAAAAGTGGTTGTCATAAACAAACAAAACCCTGCCACAGCTCCTTCCACGGAGAATAACCAGCCTGTAAATATATCTATGCAAAAAATATTCCACATCTTTGCCTATGGAAGAGCAAGTATTTCGTACATTCTAGTCTAACGAGATCAGATTTGGCCACACAGTTTGGGCCACAGGGCAGAGAGAGGGACAGGAAGTCTTCAAATTAATTTTCTCTCATGGATAAAGAAATACACCAAAACGTCAATGGAGGTTATCTTATTTGGGGCAGCAGAATTACGGGTAACTCTTGCTCCTACTGTCAGCAGTGTTCTATTTATTTAAAACAATTTATTTTTCTAATAAGTATGTGTTAGTTTTATAAACTACTGTAATTAGTGATGTTGGAAAGACGCATCCTTCTCTTTTAGAGATACATTCTGAAAGACACACAGAGAAAAGCAATCTGGGCTGTGCCCTGAAATCACAGGGGAGTGGCTTAGTTCCGGGGGGAGAGAGGACACAGACCGGGTTGAAGCCATGTGACAGCACCGCATTATTCTGACTACTTCTGTATATGCTTCAAATTCTCCAAAATAAAATTTTTTGAAGTGTTGAAAATTAGTTCCCTACTTATGCCTAACTGGGTTTTTACAAACGTAAAACAGTAGTTTTTCCTCCACCAAAGAGCCAAAGCTTCAACTCCTTCAGAAGGTACAGAGTTTCAAAAAACAAAATCCCACCAGATGTCTTAATAGAAATTCTTTCTGTGGTGTAACACATTATCCAAACTTCTCTATTTCACTAATGGGCTGCTTAACCGGGGAGGGGGGACGAGTAGTTTCCTAGGCTTTCTCCCACCCTCTGTCTGACTAAGGGTGCGGAAGGCGGATGTAAACGGAGTTACGAAACTCCAGAGCTGTAATGGTTTCTTTCACCCCGTACTATTCTCAAAAGTAAGTGTTAAAAGTCAGCTTCCTTCTTAAAACTTTATCTGCAACAAGACTGGAGATGGAGACACTGCCCATTAGCTTTGTTATATTTCTGCAGCACCGATCCCATCTCAAATGTTCCCATATATAACCATGGTGATTATGTCATGAAAGAGGCAGGTCTTCCCATTAAGAAACACTCAACTGGCTTTTTGGCTTCCCAGGCCGAGAACAGAAGGCCAAGGTGAACACAAACTCTGTAACCTGGGAAGCCGTGGGGCAGGGTAGAAAGTTCACTGGACTAGGTGTCTGGTCCCAACTCTGCTACCACCTTGCTGAGGGAAGCCAGTAAGTACCTCTAACACGGGTGCATGGCACTGGGAACAGGAGTAGCGGCAGCAGAAGAAACAGCTTACAATGCTCGTGATGGCTAAGTCAAAGAGCGGCTGCCGTCAAGTTGATTGTGACACATGCCCCGTGTGTGACAGGTAGAACTGCTCCACAGGGGCTTCTTGGCTGTCACCTTTATGGAAATAGATCACCAGGCCTTTATTCTGCAGTGCCACTGGGTGGGTTCAAAACATCAACCTTTAGATTAGCATCTGAGTACAAACTGTTTTTTGCCACCCAGAGACTCTGAGGTGGAAAGCACTATATGCATCTTGCGAATGAGGAAACTGAGACACAGAGACATTAAGATCACAGAGATAGGAACTGGCAGAGCTGGGATTCAAACACCAGTCTGTGCTCTTTATCACATTATTGTTCATCAATTAAGACAAAAGATACCAGGGATCTTGAAGCACTGTACAGTTGCCAGGTAGAAATACAATTTGCTTAGCCTGGCGTGGCTGGCACCGTCTGCCTTTGTTCAATGACCAGAGCTGAGGTAGGTGGAGTTGGGACTGCGTTTCCACAGGTGCACGTGTTGCCTCTTAGGTTTCCTGCAAAGACGCCAGGCTGACAAAGCACCAACTGTGAACTACTCTGAATTCCTGGCAATCCCAACCCCCACGGGGCCACTGATCCCTCCCATTCCTGCTCTAACCCAATGACAGTGACACTCATGTCAGGAGCTTTGATACACATCACCCCACTGAATATATCACCTCTGAGGGCTGACGTGATTCACCCAAGATCAAAGGAAAGCTTGTGAGGAGCAGGAGTGCTCCTGAGGACCCCAAACTTATGACTCTTAGTCAGCTTCCACCGGACCCCCTCTGGGGCCACCTGCCAGTCATCAGACAGCGCCACGCACCAGGAGGCTGAGGCAGGAAACACAGGGACCAGGGAGTCTAGTTTAAAAGTCCTTGTTAGTGCTGGAAGTGAGCTGAGAAAAACAAAGGCATGGCTGAGATCCCTCCCCGCGAAATGTACATAAAACAGACACCTAGGCCAAGGTGCCAAACCAGCCTAATGCCGCCCGCCTGCTTCCTCCCACAGGTGCCGTGGGCGCCTGCACCGTCACGGTCACCCAGCCGCCTTACCTGGAGGTGGACTACACGCACGAGGCCACTGCCATCGAGTGCACCTTCTCTCCCTCCGGATGCCCCACCAAGCCCCCAGCTAGTCTGTGGTTCCGCTACAGCGCTCACCAGTCTGAGACCCTCTGCTGGGACGGGTGCCGCAGTGAGGCTGACAAGTTCATCATGCACGAGTCCCTGGCACAGAACCGCGTTTCCCTCACTGTAAACAGGGTGACTTTAAACGACAGTGCCATTTACATCTGTGGAATAGCATTTCCAAGTTCAAAGAATGCGACAGCCAAGCAAACCGGAGGAGGTACCGTGTTGGTGGTAAGAGGTCAGTGGGTTAAAGCTTTCTTCCCAGTACATCCCATCTTGCTCAGACCTTTCAATCCACTGCACTTAAATTCGTCTGCACTTACAAGCAGGCACTGAGATAAACTTGCTGACTTAATACCCGAGTCATGACCTGAGGTCAGGGCTCCATGACATCTGGAATAAGGAACTACTCCCACCGCCAAGCCCATTCCCCACCCCACCACCCTCCCCTGCCCCTTCAGACACAGAGTGTGTTCAGCACTGTGCTTCTGCTAGCTTCTCTCCTAACATCCAGACCTTCCTAGTGCAAGGTATGCTCTTCCCTTCCATCTACCACGATGACTTGGTAACGAACGTACGAGTCAATAGGGACACCCTTCTCAGGACTGGTCTCGCACTGTGTTGTGTAGAATCAAACATTAGGGAAGCAACCAATGAACTGGCCCCAGAAGAGAAATGCATTATGGCGAACAAGCACAAGCTCGGGGAGCAGTCACTGGAGGACCCCGACCCCTGCCGTTCTGTCTGGAAAGCAGGGAACAAAAGAGGGTCTGGCTCTCTGAGATTCGCTCAAACAAGAGACTATGTCCTCTCGCAAGTGAAGACATCACTAGCCATGCTGGGAAGGTTCGCTAAGGTCTACCAGTCAGGGTCCAACTTATTCCCTGACGTGCTCTGAGATGACGAAATCCCAGAGGAAAGGTTTCCCGTGATTCTGCAGGTGAGGACAGAAGGGTGAAAGCCCCTCATCTTATCTGTTTTGGACCTCTTTCCTTAAACAGGACTCTGGAAATGCTGAGCACTGAGGTCATGAAGTTGTGAATTCAAAATCAAACCCAGCCCTTCAGTTTTAAAACAGGACTTTGGTGGCATAAGATTATCTCTTATTACAATCCCTGCTTCTAATTATTAGGGATGGGCTTTTTTTTTTTTTTTTTTTTTAATTCTGATTTGGGTGAAAGTTTACAGAACAAATTCACTTTAGGTACAGCAGTTCACATATACTTTGTCTCATGACATTGACTGTAGTCTCCCACAGTGCAAAATCTCCCCCCCCCCACTTCCTCCCCATAGCCACCTCTTCCTTGTGTCCTTCCCTCCCATGCACTCCTGACCCCTGAGCTGTCTCCCTGTGTATACACAGCCCTTCTAGTCTCCCATGATTGATCCCTACAAGGAGTGTATCTACCTCAGATAAATGTTCAGCTCCTTATGCCTGTCTTTTGTTTGGCTGGAAGGCACTGGAGTGGGTTCAATTCCAGACCTGAAGGGCAGCTAGGGGCCACAGTCTCAGGGGTTCCACCAGGCTAGGGATGTGCTTTTGAAATTTGAATGTCCTTTAACCTAAGTGTCCTCTAACCTGTAAGATAAATTATAAATGAATTTATACATGCACATAAAGTTCTCTTAATAGTGCCTGGAGGCCCTGGGTGAGGTAAACAGTTAAGTGCTTGGCTACTAACCGAAAGGTTGGAGGTGTGAATCTACCCAGAGGAGCTCCGGAAGAAGGGGCTGGCGATCCACCTCTGAAAGGTCACAGCCTTGCAAACCCTGTGCTCTGCAGTTCTACCCCGACACACACGGGGGGCGCCAAGTCAAGCTCGACTTGCTAGCAACTGGTTTAGGTTCAGTTTACTGACATGGTACTAAACACACAACTATGCAGGTCTACGTGTCTCACTGTGTTGTCTATTAAAAAAAAAGAGTTAGCTAGAAGAAAAATGACTTTTAAAGAGATGAAAATCTCAAAACGGCAAACTCATACCAAAGAGGGCTTCCTCTTTCTCTACAAGCAGAAATTAAAGTACTGCTAAGACAGGCACAGCAGTTCCCTGCCTTTTCTACAGAGCTCCTCAGGCAGCACTCAGCTAATTTATTAGTCTCACAACATAAAGCTGTATATGTTGTATAAACTGTGTACACGAGATATGCATCTCTGGGATATTTCGTTGAAAAGTACAGATGATTCAGACAATAATTACAAAGCAAACTGTATTTTATACTTTAAATGATCAGGTCCTTGAAGGAATGGCATGTTAATTAATCCTGACCCAGATCATAGGGTCTGTAAACTAGAAGTTTAGAATACAAAAATGGATTTGATCATTCTGTTTCCAGAACTTGGCCATAAACACTGCTTTGTTTTTTATTTGCAGTGAGCAAAGCGACCCCATTCAGCTGTGTAGACTACACAGCTCCAAGCACACACACACCAGCATTCTGCTAACGCATACATGTGAAAGGATCTTAACTCCAGAAATAGCCTCTTGGTGACATGTGCACACCGTTTCTATCGAAAGAAATGTTCGACACACTTGAACAATGGTCTTAAAACGTTTACGTAACTTTTATAATGCTTTCCATAAAAACACTGATTCTTATCATTATGACAAACCATTCACTGGGTATTTAAAAACTTTTATTTTAAAAAATGAGTCCCCATTTACCTCAAGTAGACACACGCCCTGGAGAGAACAATCATGGGAGAAGGAAGGGCTGCTTATGCACAGGGAGATAGCTCAGGGTGCAGAAGAGTATGAAGGGATGGACACTGGGAGGAGGTAACTATGGGGAGGAAGTGGGAGGGGAGCTGCTGCATTGTAAATTTTGGTCAATGACATGAGACAAAGTATATGTGAACTGCTGTATGAAAAGTGAATTTACTCTGTAAATCTTCACCCAAATCCTAATAAAAAAAAATATATATATACATATATATATAAAAAATGAGTCCCATTTTTGATAGAATACATTTCTAGAGCCGACAGGCTGGCTTTCGCTGTCACAGACATGAGTGTCTTTGGAATGGAGACACTGGCTACATGAATAGCCCAGGAGAGAAGTTCCTGTTCCACCTCCCACATGCAGTCCCAGCTGCACTTTGCAGCTGTGCCCATTACAGGTACCTTTCACGTTGCACGTGGATGTATGTTGCAGTGACTAGGGCTCTTTATGCTTCCACTTGATAAAGAACTGAAGCTTCTCAGCCCCGAGCTACGGAATGCCCTGATAGTGCTGCTGTCGCTGCTCTCCGTCTACGTCACTGTTGTGGGCGTGACCATCACAGTCCTCACCAGAGTAAGTCAGACCCCTGGCGGTGGGCGTCCTGTAACCTCAGGTGTTAGCACAAGGAGACAGTGTCTCTCTTGCCGCACATTCTGAGCTTCCTGGAAGAGCTCACGTAATGAGTACCCTGCTCTGCCTCTGCAGGGCACCAACTGCAGAAGCAAGCATACACTTTCACCACAGAAATACTTATTAAGCAGAACACGTGACGCATTTTCTCTTTAAGGCCAAGCCCCCCAACAGAGGAATAAGAGGAATAAGAACCACAGGCTGTCTTTCTACTGGTGGGTGGTGGGAGTATGTGTCACTATCTAAGAACTCTAAGAAAAGTCGTTAAAGCAAAATGGAGTGTGACCAAGAGACCAGAAACTACCTTACACTACCCAGAAGGCCTCAAGTTACTGGGAGACTCTTCTAGTTCTGTATACTCCCTAGAGAGGAAATGCGTGTGTCCTGCCAGGATTCCAATAAATCCTACACTCAACACCAGTCTGGTGGTGAGATTATTTTATTAATGGAATAAATGCATCATGGAAATTATATGAAAATTGTTAACTCTCACTATATTGTTTAAACATTTAATCTTACTATGGTATGAGAGATCTGTCACAAATGTTTTGAGTGTATGAAATACTGTTGTAAGACTTTTCTTTCCTTTGCAGTCAAAATTGAACACTTTAAGGAATAAAGACCCAAAAGAAGAGTCACAAAAGGTACAGACCAATGCCTGTGAAATACATTTTAAATTATGACTAGTTAGTAACGATTTCAAAGCAGAAATACTTTAAGAAACACAGGGAAGAATATCCTGGTAACTTTCAACCACAGTCGGTGGCATTTCCTGTTGCTGGAAAACTCAGTGTAACCTTCAAGAGGTAAACTGATTTAGATTTGACAGTTCTCAATCATAATTCTGTATTCTAACAAAAAGACTAGCGTTAACCGTGGGTGTAGCTGTGGGGGTGAAGGGGTTAGTTCCCAATGGAAGAGCAAGCATGGACAATCATCGCGTCGAGTCCTAAGACTGTTTTTCTCGTTGTGATGTCTAGAAGAGTGCTCGGCGGATTTTTCAGGACATTGCTCAAGAGCTTTACCATAAGAGATACGCGGAAACAAGCCAACCGCCTGTAAGTATAAGACACCGCAACAACACAATGTAGATAAAAGGGCATTTGACCAGAAAAACACAGTGACATGGAAACCTCTCAGAAACACACTGGACATAAGCCATGTTTTCAATATTGACAAGGATGCTTCTGTGGATTAAAAGCTACTTTTGTGGAGTGTTCTGAGCGCAGTCAATAGGCATCCAGTAGGTGTCACAAACATTTGTGGATCAAATTAGAAAGAAAAAGCATTTGTTTCTGGCAAGAGAGAACTAATTTACACTAGAAAAGATCCAACAAACAAAAAATCCCACTGCCATCAAACCAATTGTGACTCATGGTCATGACAGTGGATAAGGCACTTGGCTGCTAACTGGAAGGTCAGCGGTTCAAACCCACCAGCTGCTCCACAGAAGGAAGACGAGGCGGTCTACTTCCATAAAAATGTACAGCCTTGGAAACTCAATGCGGGTTGCTATGAGTCAGAAATGATTTGATGGCAGGTTTTTGTTTGTTTGTCTAATGAAAATAGGAAATGAGTATCTCTTCAGTGTTTGGGATTGGAGCAAGAGGGAGAAAACAAGTACTTACTATTTTCAGATGAAAAACTGACAAACTACACAGTAACATTTACATAAATGCATAATTACAATATATCCTGACACTGCTCCTTTAAGTCCTTCATAGTCAGGACTTTCCAATTGGATGCTGGTTTAGAAATAGTAGAACAGATACGGTTTCCTCATGCATGACAGTTTGCTCATGTATTTACAAGCTACTGAGTATATTTTCCTCTTAAAAGCAACCAAGAGGGCAAATGCCATGGGATTCTATTATAGATTTATCTTCAAATTCCAATTCAACTTTTAAAAAGGATTTTCACCCAGGAAAGAATATTGCCCAAGTAGTCATTTTATCCTCCAATGTACATACAAAGAAACTGGTCTAATTGCATACCATGCCATCCTCAATAGCTCTAAATGCTGGTGCATACTTTTTTCTTATTGGTGCATCTTTTTCAGCAAAGAGGCAAAGGTAAGTGACCTAAAGACAGGCCTAGAAACAGAACTATAAATTTCTAAGCGAAGGCTTTGATAATGACTTTGGAACAAGAAAATTATTTTTGCAGTTTTCACATTCTATACTAAATACAGGGAAAGTGATAACCTGGTCATTCAGATTACTAGAAGGGTAATTAGGACCCAGAATGTAGGACGACATGGTTCTTTATATGCTGCTTGGCTCATGGTGTCCTGTGGTTACATCACTTTAAATGTCACTTGTACTTTTACCTCTGCAGGAGAAAGACCACAACACTTATGAAAACAGAAGGGCACACGACAACTATGAAAGACCTTAGCAGTGTTCTCATTGTCAATTAAGCCACGGGAAACCCAACTCCAGAAGCTACGGCAGCATTCACCACCACACACCAACCAGGGCTTTTGGACAAACGGCTGTGAAAAAGGAGCCAGTGTGTAAGAAACTGTAATTGACAATAATTACCACAAAATATTAAAACCCCACAAAATACAACTGAAAATACTTTCCTAACTTACTAGGGAAAAACTGTAAGCAGCCCAACATCTTCCAAAACTTTTATTTTCATAACCTATATCCTATGTTTCATTCAACATTCAAGGCGTGTGATGATCACTACCCTGAAGAAGACTGAAAGTCAGAACACATGCCTCAGTCTTGAGTGGAAGAACCGTCTTTATGGGCTATGAAGGCAGGCAGACAGCTGGACTCGGCCGGGAGAAAGGAGGGAAGAGAAAGGACGGGGGGAGGGATGGAGCAAGGGCTGATCTAAATGCCAAAATTAAGTCAGAGAGAAAATTACATCCTCTGATGCTGCAACGAGGCAAAGGGGCGGTGCATCTTCCTGCCAAGATGTGCAGAAGAGCTCAGAGCATGCAGCCAACAAAGAGTGATACCAGAAGAGAACACAGTGAGACCGTGAGAGTTAAAATACAGAAAACTCAGACCTTAACTGAAGGGTAAGCAGAGAAAACCTCCCAACAAGTAAGCCACGGCTGACTCTAGGTGGCAGTGTTGTGCCAAGTAACAGCCCCCGGCAGGCGTGGGTGAAACGTACAGTCCAGTACACTTTGCCAATTTAGGAGAGATACCTGAGTCAGGCGAGGCAGGGCAAGGGTGCGTATGGAATTCACTAGTATTTCACTAAGAAAACATGGTACAGGTTGCTCTGTGAAAGCCACTTCAGTGTAAAAGATTAAAAAGTACCCACAAGTGTACATTCACTGTTAAACATAAATGACTATCTGTAACACTTAATTCATTACAGTGTTTCTTCCAACTGCCATTAAATGAGAAAGAAGTTCAAAAGCTTTTCTATCCCTTGGAAAGTATTCTGATTAATGACTTAATTCAGTGCTCTACAATTTTCTAAACACACAGGCCAGTAACAAGTGGAAAGGGAGGGAGCATGTCACCCCATTTTCCGCGTAGATGTGTGTGTCTGCCGGGTCCCGGGCCACCTTCACAGTCGGTACTACGTTTCAATGCACTGTTGGCAGCCACTGTGTCAATCCATCCAGACGAGGGTCTCCCTCTTCTTCACTGGCCCTCGACTTCACCCAGCAGGATGTCCTTCTCCAGAGACTAGTCCCTCCTGATAACACGTCCAAAATACATGAGACAAATTCTCATCATCCTCAACTTCCAAGGAGCAATCTAGCTGTATGACTTCCAAGATGGCTTTGTTCATTCTTCTGGCAGCCCAGGGTATATTCACTACGCTTCACCAACACCATAACCCAAAGGCCACCTTCTTTGGTCTTCCTTATTCATGTCCAGCTTCTGAATGCATATGAAGTGAATGAAAACACCATGGCTCAGGTTAGGGGCACCTTAGTCCGCAACATGACATCGTAGATTTGCCCAGTGCAGTATGTCATTTGAGTTCCTGACTGCTGCTTCCACGGGCATTGATTGTGAACACAAGTAAATGGAACCCTTGACAATTTCAGTATTTTCTCTATTTATCATGATGATGTTGTCCAGTTGTGAGGGTTTTTGTTTTATGTTGATGTGTAATCCATACTGTAGACTGTAGTCTTTAATCTTCATCAGTAAGTGCTTCAAGTTATCTTCACTTTCACCAACAAGTTGTGTGGTCTCCATATCATAGGTTGTTAATGACTCTTCCTGATGCCACATTCTTCTTCATATAGTCCAGCATCTCAGATTATGTGCTCAGCACACAGATGGAGTAAGTATGGTGAAAGGCTACAACCCTGATGCAATTGCGACTCACAGCGACCCCCCCCTTGGGTTTCCAAAACAGTGTCTCTACAGAAGTAGATTGCCCAATGTTCCTTCTGAGGAGTGGCTGGTGGGTTTGAACCACCAGCCTTCTGGTTAGCAGTCAAGTGCCTTAGGCACTACGCTACCAGAGCTTCTTTTAAACCATGCTGTATCCCCTTACTCTGTTTGAATGACTGTCTCTTGGTCTTTGTACAGGTTCCTCATGAGCACAATAAAGTCTGGAATTCCCATTCTTCGCAATGTTACCCATAATTCGTTATGATTCACAGTCAAATGCCTTTGCATAGTCAATAAAACACAGTAAACACCCTTCTGGTACTCTCTGCTTCCAACCCAGATCCACCTGACAGCAGCAATGATGCCCCTTGTTCCGCATTCGCCTCTGGGTCCAGCCTGAACTGTCCTGGCAGCTCCCTGCTGAGGTACTACTGCATCTGCTTTTGAATGATCTTCAGCAAAATTTCACTTGAGCGCAATATTAATGAACTTCCACATTCGGTTGGACCACCTTTCTTTGGAATGGGCACAAACATGATCTCTTCCAGTGGGTTGGTCAGGGAGCTGTCTTCCAAATTTCTGGGCACAGACGAGTGAGCACCTCTAGTGCTGCTTCATTTGTTGAAGTATCGGGTATTCTATCAATTCCCGAAACCTTGTTTTTCACTAATTCCTTCAGTGCAGCTTGGACTTCTTCCTTCAGTACCATCAGTTCTTGATCAAATGCTACCTTCTGAAAAGGCTGAACACTAACCAATTCTATCTGGTACAGTTACTCTGTGCATTCTTTCGTCTTCATTGGATGCTTACTGTGTCATTCAATATTTTGCCCATAAAAAAACCAAACCCAATCCACTGTCTAAGTCGATTCTGACTCATCTGCCCATAGGAACCTTCAACATTGCAACTTAACGCTTGAATTTTTTCTTCAGTTCTTTCAGCTTAAGAAATGCCAAGTGTGTTCTCTCCACCCACCTAGCCAACATATTTTGAGTACAAGTACTACTGCACAATCCAATGCCTCTTGGCACCCTATCCATGGGCCACACTGAACTGCCCAACCCTAACTCCACCTTGTCACACCTTCACGCTTTTGCATATGCTATTCTCCAATGCCTGATAAAAATGCTTCAGAGACCATAAACCCAGCTCAGACATCACCTCCTACATGAAACCTTTCCTAGCTTCCTCTAAAGCCCCACCACGTTGGTCATGTTTCTCATCACACTTCCTCTTCTGCCATGATTTTCTGCTCTATACTGTAAGAATGTTAAGACTAGAAACACAGTTCTCATTCATCTTTGTATCTCCACCGTTTCACATTGCCTGGTACACAGTGGATCCTCAGATGTCTTATAGGCTACAACTAAACAATGTTTCTATAGAAAATACTGTTTCACATTATAACTGAGACATGAAGCACATACCACTCCCTACAAATCCTGCAATGAGACTAGCCATCCACCCTCACCCTTCTTCACAATGTCTGTTTGTTGAATCCCTAACAGTATTGATTTTCTTGCTACCTGAGCATCCAGAGAAATGTTTACTGGAAAAATAAACACTATAGCATTCTGTTCGGATTTGAGTTCTCCATCACAAGGAAAGGCAACAATGCTGAAACCACTGGAGGAGGGAAATGGACAAAGACATGGTTCTAGTATCTACACATGGTTACCCTCCGAGCAAGAGCATCTAAACCACATACCAAAAGGTGTAACAAGATTTCCAGGGTAAGTAACTTCTCTTTGCACCACTACGTGAAACTGAGAGAATCTGAAACTCCCAAGAAGCACCTGGTTAAGTTTCTGTGGCATGAAGTCACATAAACTGATAGACAGGGCAGATGTGGAGAGAAAATGAAATTCGGATTGCTGTTGTTAAGAGTTTCAGGCAGACCTAACAGACACCGACAGAAGAACGGTGAGCCAGTATGATCGATAAAGCAAATAAAAACAAAGTACAGAACAGGAAGGACAGAAAGGTGGTATTTATCAGACACCTACACTAACACAGACATGGGCTGGGCGCTCATACATCATATTACTTAATCCTCTCACTAACCAAGGACAAAGGTATTAGCCCCATTTTCACAGATGGAAACACTAAGATTAATGAGAGGCCCAAGGTAACCCAGGCCCTAAGTGCTGACCTACATTTCAAACAGGTCAGACCTGAAAGCCCCAGCTCTTTCCACTACACAGTCCTTGTTATTTCTCCTCAGACTGATGGGGCTTTAAGATAAACACGTCCGAGCCAACCAGACTAATGACCTTGGAAGAAACAAGTCTTTGACAACCTTCTCGAGAGTTACCTCCCAAAACTCACAAGCCCAGATGGTCACGTTATCAGGAGTCATCTCTGGAGAAGGCCGTCGTGCTTGGTAGTGGGCCAGAGAGAGAGGAAGACCCTCGACGAGATACACTGACCCAGTGGCGACCAACGGGCTCAAACAGCAGTGACCGCAGGGGTGGCCCAGGGCTGGGCACTGTTTCATTCTGTTGTACACGGGGTCGCTGCAAGTCAGAACGGACCAGACGACAGCTAACAACAACCACTGATGGCTTCACAGGAGAACTCTAAAGTTCAAAGAAAAGATAATCCCAGAGCTATTTCAACTGCTCCAAGGAAGAGGGGGAAAAAAATTCCAAATTATTTGTCACACAGCCAGCGGAACATTGATACCAAAATATGGCAAAGAGATACCCCCTTAAAAAATTTCTTTTTCTAAAGATCAAGTACAGACCAATCATTGCTTATCAATAATATTTGTGCTAATATTTTTACTTAGAATTTTTATAAATAGATCCTAGCAGTGGCAATAAAAGACTGCCATCTAAGTCCAGAAATGCAAGTAATTAGAAAATTACCATTAATTTAATAAGCTAAAGTAGACAATATGAATGACCATCTTTAGAGATGTTGAAAACACAGCTAGCTGACAAAATGCACTAATTACTGATTTTTTAAGCTTTTAATAGGATTAAAAAGGAAAAACAAAACAAAAACATGTATCTCAAACCAAAAAACAACATCATGTTTAATTTACAGCAGAAACAAGACAAAAATGTT